GGACATTGTGATGCATTGCCCAGATCCCCCTTCAGAACTGAAAGATTTATTCCCTCGGCTGCAGGGGAGGTTGTCAGTAGTTCACCCTCAGCTGCTGGCATTGCCTCGGCTAAAGAGATTAACCTCATCCAAGATCATGTCCCCTTCCTAGTGTAGTTCTCATCCAAAAACTGGTTGACACATGTGTACAAAAGCTTACCCCTCCACCCAACTAAGACCTCAGACAGGTTGTCAATTCTGGGACAATTCTGAATGACTATGCGGCCTCGAAGCTTCATGTGGGGTTGGCTGAGGTCTTGTCCAATCCTGCTCCCGTCCTGTCCCTTCCCTTCCACAGCAGCAATCAGAAAGAGCCCTCCCTAGTAAATCTGCTTGTTAATCTCCATCTCATCGTCTGCTTCTCAGGAAACCCAAATCTGTGGCATAAGTCTTTGTAAAGAATGTTCCAAAAAAGAAAGTGACCAGGTAAGCTTAATAAATTATAAGGTTTTATGACAGCAACACTGTGAAAAATTCTCTAAAACTATATTATAGGTTATAAGAACAAATTCATAAATCTGATTTATGGATCCTTATATTTAAAAAAACTGAGATAATTCCAAAGTAGACAGTTTTTGAAGACAATTAAACTGAATTTGTCATAAATCCATTTCATCAATCTTACCGCACATTATATATTTACCCTCTTTGACCTCAAGAAAAATCTGATCCTCAGAAGAGAAACTAGTGTACTATGGAACCTCATAAAATTAAGATGGATATTTTGATTATAAGAGAGCCAAAGCTACCATCACAGGAGTCCTTTAATATTGTTCTTGATTTACATTTCTGGCTGCAACTAATAAATATCGACTCTAGAAACAACAAAGCCTGCAAAACCACGAAATATATGTTTAAAACAGTGACAGTATTTGGAAGGGAGATCATGTTAAGGAGAGCTTATGAACACAATATCCCTGAATATAACGGATTTTTCCAGTGCTCCAAATTCAGCTTCACTAAAATCATCTACTGAGACAACAAACAACACTCCCTTTTACTAGGAAACCAAGGTTTTTCTGGTTCTGTAGAAGCCGCTTTGCCGCTTATCGTTAGAAGCTCAGTTATATTCAGTTATATTTAGGTTGTTTACATTTATTATCATTATTTTCAGTCTTAACCTAATCTCTCGCCTATATGTATCTCTTGTATTATAATGCAAAAAAAAGGCATTATTATTTCAGAACCTCAGACTTCTTCTCTCCAAATGAATTAAGTAAAATCAATGAGAAATACTTAAAACTAACTGTAGTATTTGAAGTTAATGGCATCTTAAGTTTGAACTTCAACTCCAACCAATAATACAAATTCAATAATCTAGAGTCACACTGATAGACAGATTCACTGCTGGAAGCAAGGTGTGTCCAGTACCAATTTACTATTAGGTTTAGTGCACACAGATTAGGATGCTGCTATTCTAAGCCTGCTTAATATGACAAAGGGGCTTTACTGAAAGAGTTGCTGCAACAATATTGAATGTATTTCTCATTTCTCCCCAAAACTAAATGGCATATATATACATTCTATTTTAAATGTTCTCCATGTTAATATTCTAAAAAAAAATTTCTAGATGTATTTTTCAAAGAAATATTTCATTCATAACATTCATCGAAGGCTAATAATTTTTCATAATTTAACAATAAGTACGGCTATTTTAATGAAATTGTTTTTGTGTGTGTGTAGAATGAAGTTTCTGAAGTGGATTCATTCTAAATATATTTTATTTAGCCCAGTGGTTTTCAACTAGGGGTAATTTTGTCCTCCCTCCCTCAATGGAGGACATTTGGCAATGCCTGGAGACATTTTTGGTGGTCACAAAAGGAGGGAGTGCTATGGGGATCTAATAAGTAGAGGCCAGATTAGTGCCCCCATAGCAAAGAATTATAGTGTCAACAATGTCAATAATACTAAGGCTGAGAAACCGTGATCTAACTTAATAAATCTGAAGTTTCCATAGCTTTGTGGATCAACTCTTCAAACAGTTGGAAAGGAGTTTAACTAAATGAGTTGGCCAATACGCCAACATCTGAAAAATTTAGTTTCCTTCTGCTGTCCCTCCCACTATTGTATGAGGATGTCATATCTGTGACAAAATAGTATATTTGTTCCATATATTCAAAGGTCACCAATGATTCTGTTTAAGGTATGGCACACAAAAGAAAGTTCCTACATTCCGTTTAAGGCCATAAACAGGTAAGGTATTCCGTTTAAGGTAAGGTCTGTACCAGGAGCTGCACTAGGTATAGTCATATAATCTTATTACATTGTAACCCAGATTACTACCTGCATATTATAGATGAAGAAACTGAGATTCAGAGAGGTTAATTTACTTGCCAAATATCACACAGCTGGTAAGTGACAACCCAGTGACTACTATTCCAAGTGAGAATATTATATTTTTAAACTCATTGATACTTTCTCATATATGCAAAGGAAATTTCTGAATCACTAAGGGTTCTTACTACTTGAGAAAATTTCTGAATCATTAATGGTAGTTAATGGGGTGAGGAGGGTAATTAGCTTTTCACCTTGTATCTTTCTGTATTATTAGAATTTTCAGTAAACATACATTACTTTCACTTGAAAACTAATAAATAAAAAAAGACTCAAATCACTGACATCTTTCTCAAATTAATTTTAGGATTAATCATTAACAAAACTGTAAAGTGGGAGAGGATCCTTGGCACACGTATTCTCTTGTAATAATCCAATTTCCCATTCAGTAACTCCATGCCAAAACTCGCTTTCCTACCCAGATCCCAAAAAAGGATCTTATAAAGTTATTTACATTAAGATTAAATATGCTATTATTCTCTGGTGTTCCCACTAAGCAGAAGACAGCATTGTAGGTCAAAAGAATGACTTTGTGTTTATCTTTAATATCAGAGTAGTAGAAGAGCTTTAGGGGCAAGGCTTTTCTTCTCTGTCGTCCTGAACTCTCACTCTATATGTGGCATTCTATTCAGGCAGTTCTTAAAGAAGGGCCTTGCGAACCTACTGCCAAGGATGGAGCACTTAATGGAGGAACGAGTCACTTAATTGATTGAACAGATCCAGTGATTGGCATGTGCATGACAAGTCCCACGTATATAAAAGTTTACAGTTTAACAGGCACCAAAAGACCCACCATTCCCCTAGATGGTCTCTCTCCCACCTGGATCTGAACCTCCTGCCAAAAGGATTAATAAGGCAGGGGTTCCAATAGTGATCAATTTTAAATATTATATATGTTAATATTTCTCTATTAATCTGACATAATATTTTATACATATAAATGTTAACATCAGTATTAATGATGTCAATTATTTGTTAAGCTTTAGGAAGTCAACACTTCCAGAGGCAAGCTTCTTAATCTGGGTGAAGACTTTGAGATTCTTGTATCTGGGAGATCTGGGAGACAAGCTTCGAGAGTTTCATCATACTCCTATCCCTTCCAAACCCTTCTCAGCTCCCTATTCCCCAGTTGTCTCCTGGAATGCCTGAAGAATATAGATCAATCAAAGATGAGAGGTTGATTCGACATGAGTAATGGCTCTATATCACACTACAACAGGTTGAATTGTGTTTCTCAAAAAATATATTGAAGTCCTAGCCCTTTGTACCTGAAATGTGACCATTTGAATATAGGGTCTTTACAGAGATAATCAAATTAAAATAAGGTCGCACTGGATTAGGATGAACCCTAAATCCAATGACTAACTCCTTTTAAGAAGAGGGAAATTTGGAGACACAGGGACACAATAGAACAGCCACATGAAGAAGGAGGCGGAAATTGGAATGATGCAGCAACAAGCCAAGGAATAGCAAGGATTCATCAAATAATCAGAATTTTTCACCCAATGTACTACAAAAGCCTCTCAACTCATCTCCCTATTTCCATCCTTAACCTCCTGTAGTGCACCATCATGAATTAGGCAGAATGATCCTGTTATATGTAAATCATATCATACCACTGCCCTGGATAAAACCCATCTCGGAATTCCCATCACTCAAGAGTGCAAAGCCTTTCCAGGGCCTGCAAGGTCTAACATGCTCCATCCTACCGCTTTCCCTTCCTTCACGCCGCCCTGGCCGCACGGGCCTCCTTGTCACTGGCCTACACTCTGAGGGCCTCTGTGCTTACGGCTCCTACAGCCTGGCTGCCCTTCCCCCTGCTCCTCAAACAGCCTGCACCATGTCTTGATTCTTGTCTCTACTCAGCGTCTCTTCCTCAGAGTCCTTACCAGCTCATCTGAAGGAACAACCCCTTCTCTCCCCATTCCCTGCACTTGGGGAATCTGTCTATCTTTTGGCACTTGTTCACCTCCTAATATACTGACATTATCTTATGGATTTAATGTTTATTTTTTCATTGTCTATGTTCCCTTATTAGAATGTCAGCTCTAAGAGAGCAGGGATTTTTATCTGATTTATTCACTGTTGTATTGCCGGTGCCTAAAACAGCATCTATTATAGAATAAGCACTTGATAAATAATCTGTTGAATCAAAAAATTCATAAATGCATTTTGTAAGCTGCTTTGTTTTACTTTTTTTGCTCTGGCTGATAGGAAGCTTAGTAATAAATTCAATGCCTAGTCATAGTAATTATATTAGCCTTTATCATGGGCATATATGCTTCTTCCTTTTTTTACTATTCTGATATTTTCTTCTTATTCTAATAACTTCATATATTACTTTTATTATAAGATATTTCTAAGACTTTTGGAATGGGACAGAAAGACACCAAAAGGCAGGTGGGCTGAGTACCTGGTTGGGTGCCTGGGATGCAACCTACGCTACACTAAGTGGGAAAGGGTATATTTGTTAATCAGTAGGAATGCTTGAGTGTGATACAAGACAGCTCTCAAGCTGGAAGCCCAAATCTTTGGCTGCAGGTTGATGCTTGAGAGCCCAGAAAGAGTCGGATGAGAATGAACGAATGAGTCCAGTAGGGCCAGTGGAGGAGGGAAGCAAGTTTTACCTTTTCATTCCTGCAGTTGTTCAGCCCCATATTATTCATGGAGGACAGTTTCCCATCAACACCATGTGGCTGTTGCTGCTGTTGCTCCCGCTGGATCTGTTCTCGCATCTTCCGAGCCTCCTGAATGGCTTTCATCACTGTATCCTGATCCCCAAACAGGGCAGGGGAGTTGAGACTGGACAGGATATCTGCATACACAGGATGCATTATTAAAAGCTTGTGAGGTGAGAATCTTAAAAATAATACTGCCACTCACCAGTCCCCTATGGAATGTTACATTCTCTGAACAAGGAAGGGGCACATTTACCATTAAGAAAATTGCAGTACTGTGCAAGGAGCACAGAAAGCCAGAGCAACCAAGCTGTGCTGAGACTTTTAGCTCTTGGAGGATACCCCACCATGCCAGTTTATCTGAGCTGTCAACCAACCTCACAGATGAAGGTTCCTAGATTCAAATTGTGAGTGTATCTACTTATCTGCTCTGGCTAAATCTAACAATCGGTGGCAGAGTAGCAGTGGGGAAGAAGCGGGTGGGGAAGGGTACAGAGATATCAGGCTGCCCATTATATTTCGTGTGCTAATTCAGAAAAGCTATGAGTCTAGCAGAAAAATCTGTGAGTCTACATGTGTACTTTAGTGACATCTATATCTCTGTGTTCATATGTCCACTGCAGAGAGGGGAGGGGCTGTGTGAAGGAATACACCACACTCTCCATTCCCCAATCACTGGCTGGTTAATGAAGCATTCTACTCATCATGCTGCCTCAGTTATTTACCAAGAGAATGACAACCCATTCCCTGCCCCCAACCCGAACACCCACTGCTCTCAGCTTCCTGCCTTCGTGATAGTGAGGCTGTATGACTGGGAATAGTTTTCGCATAAGTACAGAGCTTCAAATAAAGTAATGATAAGTATTTACTTTCATTATATTCTATGCAACACAGTGGGGAAAAAAATCAAAATTAAACTGACTAATTTTCCTCCGTATCTTGCATTTTACTATAGGTTAAACTTAATACTTTAGATAATCTTTTCCAATTCTAGACAAAAAGAAAGCCATTGCTTGCTGACTGATAGATTTCAGCTGCTGTGGTAAAGTTGAACATGATCCACTTGTTTGTATTGTGGTATGAGCATTTCATAGCACATGTGTGTGTGTGTGTGTGTGTGTGTGTACACACACGCACACACCTCACACAGACAGGACAGAGGAAACCAGACTATAGTCAAGCTCACACACATTTCCATGTGTGTGCAGAGCATGTGCATATGCATTTGAGTTTAGAAAATATTCCCAAGGTTATCTATGGAAAAAATTTTTAGTCAGTCACTGTTTAGAGTATAGAAAACTCACACCTTTTGCTCTGCAGCTTTTCTGATAAAAATTCTATCCAATATTGTCTGGACCAGAGGGCTATTACTTCGGCCTATTTCTAGGCCATGATCTAAGAAATATGCTCTGCTGACGTATAAATCCCACAAGAACAGGGCCTGTGACATAGTCATCCTTGTCCCTCATGATGCTCAGAATAGCAAGCAAATGCTTTCCAAACAAAACTCAGAAGCAGATTATAGGAGGCCCATTTCAAATCAAGTCTATTATTTACTTCTATTGGCTCTTGGTCATCTCATAACTTCCAACAATCCAGCAATCGCATTCACACTCTGGAAATGATCCACTTCTCTCTTCCACAGCGATACCACTGACTTGGGCTGAAAACCTCCTGGCCATGGAAAGAGGCATCCTGACTCAAATTAGAATAGGCTGCCATGTGGTTCCTAATGTGCCAATTTCAATGAGGAAGATTCACTTAGGCTCTGCACAGTTCAGCAAATATCCCAACTGTGAGTTCCTCAAAACAGCACCGTTATATGTGAGAGGACCTGGATTCTAGTCTTAGCTCTGCTGATTAATAGCTACATGCCTGTGGGTAAGTCATTTTACCTGTAAGAGCCATGATTTACTCTACAACGAGGGTAATATTACTACACTACCTAACTCATAAGATTACTGTGAAAAGTCAAATGAGATAAGATAGGCAAAATGTTTTTTAAACTGTAAATGGCTACATTTACACATTATTTTATTATAATAAGCATTTCGGGCTCCAGGACTCAATAACGTGAGGAAGATAATATGGTGCAGAAATGCTGATTCCAGTCCCTAATCTCTTTAAATCTCTGTGTCTTTAAAAATTAGGAGACTTAAAGACTATGGTAATAATAATGTTAAGACATTTGGCACTCTGCTACTGACGAATACTTTCATATTTATTATTTCGTTGTATATTATATGTAAATGTGTTGGTATTCAGTCCAGTGTTTTTAAATTGCATGCTTTTTAGGTGCCAGATACCATGTTAGGCACTTTATATGCATTTTTTATCTTTTAATTCTCATAACAATCTATGAGCTAGTTAATAATACTCTCTTTTCAGAGATTAGGAAATCGAATTCAAAAATATTAAATAACTTTCCCAGGGTCATACTGGTAGTAGGTGAAGGCTCTTAGTCAAAGTCTGTCTGATGCCAAAGGCCATATTTTTCCTCTACACTTCTCACACTGGGGTATGAATATTCCTAGAGATAACTGGCAATATATCAGAGAGTGTGAGAAGCCAGAGGATCATTATAACATGTCTTATATGATTCCAATTTTATTTCATATTGTGTCACTGAAACATGTCATTCATATTTGTTTTAATGCAAACTGATATAGGATTGGATGTAAAAGTCACACACATTTTAAAAAGAAAATATAAAATTTCAAAGGAATCTTGGAGTTTTGGCAGGCATCTTTGAGGTCAGGTCCTCGGAGGGTTCATAGTCACTCCTTCTGCTCAGAGTTACTTTAGCAGCAAAGCACTGACCAAACACAAAAATTCCTAAGTCTCTGATTTGCTGGATCTAACTCATCATCATCTAAAGAACCCATCCCATCAGGGTTTACATTATGGCCTTTCCCCAAAGTTCTAATCATCCAAGACACCAAATTGAGTTATGTTTCAGTGGAATAGATTTTACTTTATTATGTTTTTTCTTGGACTAAGAACACTTTGGAAATAAAGATCAGTCATGACTCAACAGGTTTGCTTTCTTTTACCTAATTCATAAGTCTCTTCCTGGTGTTGACCTTTCCATTTACCTAAAGAGGATCCCCTTCCCAGGCTTCCTCCAATAGGGCTGGGGATGCTGCTCTTGTTCGGCAGATTGACAGGGCTGGTTTTGCTGGCTGGGAAGAGGCTCGGGGTGGGAGAGGTTGGGGACTTGACAGGCTCAGCGGTCTTGGGTCGGGATGAGAGATTCAGCGGCTGTGCTGCTGCTTCATCCTAGAAGAGGTTAACATAAATAATTATTTTTTAAAAAGACAAATGAAGCACATTATCACTTAGTAAGCCACAGTTATTTTACACCTCAGAGACAATGCCACATTCTCCTACGATAATAACAAAAGAAGCTAATTATCTACCTCCTTGAAGATTCATCAGAAGGAAACCTCATTAATTTCCCTGTGTTATGCTTCTATTTACATTAACTGTGTAGCTGGATCATTCTTTTTGCCAAATTAAAATCTGAATTAGCTCACATTACAGCTTAATTTCCTAATGTGTTTTCAGGGATCTAAATTAACCTAGGGCATTTACAAAGAATTATTTAAAATTTCTGCAGTTCTATCGTGCTTTTGTGTCATTCTCTCTAAAAAGTTCCTGGAACTATAAATAGGCTCTGCAGCTAATTTTTTAATATATATTTTAAATCAAACAATCGCAAGTACTTTAAAAATGGAAACACGGAAGGCCTTCTTCTGATCTCTTGGGCCTCTGCCCAGGGAACCGCATGCCACAGCATGGCTTCTATGTGGCTTTCTGGGTGTGGGCACTCTTCATGGTCTATATTCTGGTCTCTATTCATGTTTAAAATTAATTTTTGCAAAGAGCAAGCACACATTATAATTATGTTTTACATACCATGCTACATGCAATTTATTTTTCATGTCTAAAGTGATGTCTCTTTATATTCTTTGCTCCATATATTTACAGAATGTCTATTTTAAGACGCCTGCCCTATACTGAGCACTGTATTCAAATATCTGGCTTGTAACTCTAGTTTAACCAGGAGCTTGAAAGCTAAGCTTCTTGCCTTTATTTTGTCTCATTTATCCTGCCATGAAACACCCATAACATTTCCATCATTCTAGAAATTTGGTGTAATATGAGCATATTCATTTAAATGTTCAGTTTTAAGATTTGCATTATTGTGTTCTAAAATAAAATTGTCAGCAAATGTTAATTCCTATTTTGCTCCTGAGAAGGCACAGAGAACTTGCTTTTAAAGTCACTGTTAAAAACACACAGTAGAGCTTGGAAACAGAACACTCTTCCCCTTGGCAAAACTGTGACCCCTATGGAGCTCAATTTCTTCCTCTGTAGAAAGAAAAGGACTGATTCTAGCTGATCTCTAAGGTCCCTTCCAGTACTGATGGTCATTGTTTAAGAGGAAACAAAAAAGGATGCCAGAAAATACTATCCAGAAAGAATTAGAAAAAGAAAATAACATGCACAGAGGAGCCACTACATACGAAGCGTTATGCTAGACATTTTCACATATATTAGCTCATTTAACTATCAATAAATCTATGACGTTGGGTAACATTATTTTAAATTTACAAAGGAAGAAGAGGACAGGGTGATACAGTCACTGCCCAAAGCCATACATGAAGGGACAAAATTTGAATTCTAGTTTATTAGACTACAAATCCCAGACCCTTTTTCTACTATATTATCAGAGAAAATAAGTCATTTGATAATGTAGTGATGCCTTAGGGTTTTTGTTTTTGTTTTGTTTTGTTTTGGTCATGGTAGGAAATAGGTAATCAGGCTCATCTATGTGGCAATGTTCTTTTCTTTTTACCCAGACATGGTATAGGTTCGTAGGAAACACAGTTATGAATGTTAAAATTATCCAATATGCTTATTCAAGTTACTTCCTTTTGCTCTGATCTCAAAAGGTATTTAGACTAGTTAGTTCCTTTATGCATATCTAAATAATAGTGATTCATATGCTAGATATTTAGTTCATTTTCTCCATGTTTCTTTATTTTGGGGTTCACTGAACTTTGATATCTGAGTTCAGAGTTCCCTTCAAATTTGGAAAATGTTCAGCTATTACTTCTTCAAATACATTTTTCTGTTCCTTCTCCTTCTTGCATTCTAGTTGCATATGTTAGGTCATTTGATGTCCCTCCCAGGCACTGTGTCCTTTCCATATATTTCACTTTGGATAGCTTTACTGTTATGTCATTGAATTCACTAATCTTTTATTCTGTAACGTCTAATCTGTTGCTAATCTCAAACAGTGCTAATCCAGTGTACTTTTTATCTCGAACACTGTATTTTTCATCTCCCGACATTCAATGTAGGTCTTCCATGTCTTGCCTTATAATGCTTATGTTTTCCTCTACCTTCCTGAACATATGGAATTAATAGCATCTGGTTGTATTCAGCTTTGGATATACCCTAATTTATTTATTTTTACAATTCAATAATTACCACTTCCACCAACAATGCCACTGGGCATGGGAAGCATATCAACTCCCAATCACGTAAATCCCTTTCCACAATGGCAGGCCTGCTGCTGGTCCTCACAGCCTGCCCTGACCTGACAGAAACTTTGTAGGTGTTTTTTAGGGAGCAGATTTGCCTTCCTCCTCACCTGGCTATACTTGTAAGTCTTTTATGATGGCTTTGTTTTTTTTTAACGTCTTATCTACTAATTCAGATCATATATGTCATTTTGGAGTCTGTTTCTATTGATTGAGTTTTCTCCTCAATATTGTTCTTTTCTTGCTCCTATGAAAGCTTGGTAATTATTGAATGGATGCTACACATCATAAATTTGATGTTGTTGGGTGTCAGAGTTTGTGCATACCTTTAAATATTTGTAGACTTTGTTCTGAGACACAGAACAATTTGATCCTTCTAACTTTTAAGATTAGTTAGACAAGTCCAGAGCAGCTCTTAATCTAGGGATAATTTGGCCCCACTACTCAAATAATACCATTCTGAGGAATGGACTTGATGTCCCATTTGTCAGAAGATATTTACATTCTGGCTAATGTGAATACAAACCATTCTCAGTCCTCTGTGAACCTCAGAATTGTTTTGTCTGCTAATTTGGTATTTCCCCTGGCCTCAGAAAGCTCTCTCCCACATATCATGCATGTCGATCAATACTCAGCTACATGCAGGGGAACCTTCTGTAGATCTTCAGTGCGCACTCTTCAGTGTGCAGCTCTCTCCTCTCTCGTACACTGCCTCACAAACTCCATCTACCTGGGCATCCCTAAACTCCAAACTATGTCTCTTTACTAAGGGAGGCTGCGAAACTCAGTGTGGGTACCCCTCCCTGTCCTATTGCCTGGAAATTCTCTCTAGAGAGTAAGCTGAAACAACTATCGTGCTTGCCTTACCTATTTCTCGTCTGTCAGGAACGACTATTCTGTACTTCTATTGTAAATGTCTGAAAACCACTGTTTTATATATTTTACCCTGAGTGTTAGTTGTTTAAGCTGAGAGAGTAAATCTGGTCTCTGTTCCTTCATCGTGGTTGAAAAATGGAAATCCTCTAGGTATTTTGTTAGGATCTCTCTTGGTATACATCTAGAAATGTCAATCACAAGCCCTACTACTACCATCACCACCACCATCTTATTTACTACCGTCAGATCATCATCATCATCAATATACTAACATTTATGGAATACTCATTATATGCTAGAGGATGTATTATCTCATGTAAGACTCATAATGATATTAACTTTTATTTTATGGAGGAGACAAACTAAAGCAGAAGGAAGTAAACTGCCCAATGTGACGAGGCTGGTAAAAGTGGCAGAACTGACATTTGAACAGAAGCATTCCAACTTCTGATGTTGACAATTATAGCAAATAAAAATTCTGGGGAAAAGAAGGTACATAAAACCATTTGTGTTTATTTCTGTTACCTTCAGCAAACTATGTCCTTTGCAATGCGGTCATGTTATATACTCAGGGAAAGCAATGACTATAGACAGAAACATCGAGTATTTTAATGACCATAATTCTACCAATTAGAAAACTATGAGATTTTTCTCAGAACTTCTTCAATAATAGAGAGAAGCTATTTTTAAAATTTAAAACATTTGTTTTATGTCTCGGTCTATATTTTTTACCCATGCATAAAATAAACAAACTAATAAGGATAAGAAATGCTTCCTTTGTTATTAACATAAAATACAGTTAAGTCAAATTATATAGAGAACTCCCTAAGAATTTTCATGTGGTCAAGTGAGTAATAAAATTCAGTTGGCCCACAGAGCTGGAATGGTAAAAGCAGATATAAACGTGAATTTAACCAGGGAACATTTTACTCATCCAGTAAAGGCTTAGTTTGGTGCAGTTCCATTTGGCCAACTCACTCATAAAGCGACTTTTTCATGTTAAAATACCTAATACTCAATACCTCAAGTCCCTGATGTTTGATATGCTCATACCCTAACAAGTATAATTAAATGAAATGCTTTGGTTTGAGTTGTAGTGTTCTGACTCTTATTCACAAATAGAAACTCTTAGAACACAAAAATAGATAGTCTGTTTCCATAAGTTATGTGATCTTATTAAATGTAAACTGACTATTGTCATATCTCAATATTTCTAACAACAAAGCATAAATGTCCATCTATTTCTTTGGAGAACTTAAGAGCATGAGTGGCATTTAGTTAATTCTTTTGGGTAAGGCACAGGCAAAACTACTTCTTTCAATGATGTTTATTTTTTTTTTTTATCTTTGGTATTTGGGATCCATATTTTTAAACAACTCTTCTGAAATCTCCGAATTCCTATCTGCAAATTTTAGAGAAAAAAACAATTTTAGTGAGTTTGTAGCACACAATGCTGTTTTGTTGGCTTTAGATATTTTCCATGTGAAGATTTAACAATTGTAAATTTTCTCCAAATGCAGTACTCTGTGCACATTACAGTAATCCATCTGTGCTTAGTATACCTCTTTAAATAGATAAGTCAATTATACAAAACAATTGTTTCTGTGAGCTGTTTGAATTTGTTATTTCAATATAGGAAGGAAAGGCAATCATAAAAACCAACCGGTACCACCTATAGGTACCAGCTGCAGCACAAAGCTGGAATGGATCACCAATTTCTTTCGGTCGCTAAGTATGTCCTGGCTGCCCCATTTTAAGACACTGAAATCAGTGAGAAAAAGTATCTATTAATGTCCCAGTAACAACTTGGGAGAGCCTTTTTCTCTCATTACAACTATATGACGTGAAGCATGATTATGTAATGATACCATCATTCTTCAAAGCCAACCTTTCTAACTATTTTTGAAGGTGAGATCTTTAATCAACAAGCCATATAAAGCCCAGCACCAGGCTCTTTTTTTGTTCTTTTTTTTTAAATCTAAAGTTTTGAGATCCTTCTTCGTGTTTAAGAAACTTTGAGAGAAGTGTTGCAAGTCTATGACAAACGGTGGTAATAAAGCCACGGCCACTCATGCCAATAAACATTAAAAAATAAAAGCTAGACTCCAAAGGGGAAAAACTCTTGAGAAGTGAGTTGGCAGATTTAGGTAAAGATCTCACAATATGGCACTATTGTTATCAAAAGGGAAACACCTGTTTCTCAGTGCTCAATCATGAAATTTACCATAAAGAGGAGCATTTTGGGGGATCCTTTATGTTGCTGTGCTTCCTGCTGTTTATTCCCAACACAGCCTGGTTCACTACCTTTCTTGTGAAGCTATTTTCCAAACCGTTTCCACAATCCTGCAAAGCAAGTACCTTAACTTGAGTTACAGGGCTGGTCCCTCTCTTTTCATTTTTTATCCCAGTAGGTGAGACTGCCCCTGCTGTGTTTGGTGGCTGTGGAGTTGATGGCATCTTTGCTCCAGGTGACACCTGCATGCTGGCCAGCTGAGCGGCATAGAGCTGCTGCAAAACAGGGAAGACAAACATTATCTCTTTAAATGTAGCTGAAACGGAGTTCCAAAAAAACAAACAAACAAAAACTTACCGTATTGTTAGATAACTACATCTCTCAGCCTTGCAATTTCTCTTTCACTATTTTTTTTTTTAAAGAGGAAAATCAGAAAGACCAAATAATGTGACAGAAAGAACAATTACTGGTAGGGGTGTCATCGTTCTGTCCTTGGTCCTTCTAGCAATAATTTTAAGACCGTGAACAAAGGACTCGATCACTCCAGAACTCAGTGTCTTTCATTGTACAAAAATGAATTTGACTAAACAGTCTCGGAGATTCTTTCTAGTACCTAAAATCTTTATAAAAAGTTCTTTAAATGTTGATATGTCCATTCTTGAAAGTTTAATATTCATGAATTAAGAAAGGAATCTGAACGTTCCTAGGGACTCCTGGAAGAACACTGTTCTCATTCAGTACTGACCAGGCTTCCCTGGGGATGCCGATCCTCCTGGGTGAGGAGGGTGCTGCCCTCAAGATCCCTGAGGCTCAATGGCAGTGACTCTTTCCTCAGGGTCTTATTTCGAAGCAGCATATAAAAGACCCCTTAAGAGAATACAGCCAGATTTGTGACAAAATAATAATAATAATAAAATAAAAATCAAGCTTCTTTTTCCTAGCACAAGATGTTAAATCGTTAACTGTCAATTTACTAGGTTTTGGGTGAAACTGGCAATAAATGAATATGTAGATCTGCTAGTTAACCAGAATTCAGACATCTCAATCTTAAAACTATTTAATGCTTGAAAACTCCATTCAAATATTTTTTTTCTTCTTGTCATCGAGATTAAGCCATTACCTTGATAGTCCTATTTCTATCATAATAAATAGAAAGCTTCCTAGTTCATCAACCACAGAGAAAATGGCTCAAACTTTGCCACATTAGTAGGGGAGAAAAAACAGGTGGTTTGTATGTAATTTCCAGCATTACTATCATTCAGATGGACAAATAAAAAAAAATTACAGTAATCAAAAACAGACCTTTCAGCACATGTAATTAAATGAAAGCTTAATAAAGAATAATTTGCAAGAGCCAGATGTGCTTATGTCATGATTGTTGCTTTCTTTGGAACAATTTTTCTAATATAACAAGCCTCTAAAGAAATTAAAGTTTCATAATTCTGTGTGTGCAATGACTAAGTGGCAAGAAAAATTCACAAGTAAGAGTCAGTCAAACTGCTAGAACTTGGGGGAGTAAAAGGGACGCTCTTTTCTGTTTCCTTTTTACTCTGTTGTATCCTTTTCCTTTGAAATTCAGCCAGGTATCTTCAGAAGGGGCACAAGTGAAGCTTCTGAAAAATTTCTGCTTGGATTAAGCCAGTGTAGAAAAGTTCTATACTGGAAGGAGTGGAAAGGATGAAGAATTGAAAAAGCGTTGGCTACGTAGTAGCTGGTGTCATGAGCAAATGCCCTACCACTGAGTATTAAAGAGTCATGAAATCTTAGGAAGGCAACAGTCCTTAGACATCATTCATGCCTTCATTTCACCCCAATAATTCACAAGATCAGAAGAAAGTCAATTTTATTCAATCTCAAGTCCTTCAGAGAACTTCAACGAGTGGGAAAAAAGCAGAAAAACAAGTCTTTGGAAACAAATCCATTTTTTAAAAGGCTGCCTAAATTCAGCAATCTTTCAGGTTGCTGGAACAATACAGCTGCTTTTTAGAAATAGAGTAGTATCCATTGCTTCCTCTAAAGCTTGGATGACCATTTATTTTATATCTCTTTCTAGTGGGTTATACCTAAGAGAGGTAAGACCCCCAAGAACTCTGAGATTCCTCTGAGTTGTGATTCCTCGGAGTTCCTTGTGGGTTGTGATCACTGATACAAGAGAGTCATGAGGAAGTATGATCGCATTCCTCATAACTTACAGATCTACGTAAAATGAACAGTAGGATATCAGATAAGATTTAATAGAATGAGTTTTTGAAATAAAATCAGAAAATAGAGTCCGCTATAAAGATAGAGGCACTCGTGAAAACAAAATTTTCACATTCTGTCTAACAAAATATATTATTTTAGATACAAGTATCATGTTTTTTCGGATTGAAGACTTTCGATCTGACTTGGATAAAAAGAATCTCATTTGGTGAATAGGTACAAGTTTAGAAAATGATTTCACAGATACCACATCTTCTAAGCTAACATTAATTGAATATGCTCTGTATGCAAGGCTCTGTGTTAGATGCTGAGGCAGATTCAGTGTCTTGGAACAAGCATATTGCTCTGGAGGAGATGTAAGATATAGATCCATAACACTTGATTTATACCTTTCTTGTGGTGCTTCTCACATTTTTAAACCTTGTGTTTAGTTATGCACGTATGTCTTATTATCTTAGATAGACTATAAGCTTATTAAAGTCACAATCAACCTAATTATTTTTAATACCTGGCATCAAGAATAGTGCCTTGCAACTAAAGATAACCAATCAATATTTTCTGAATTAACATACAGTATATAAAATCACTGGATGTTAGAAAGGATATTCTCTCTAAATAAATGAGACATCAGAAGTGGTATATGATTATATTTATCATAGATGTAATGAATAATTTTACAGTGTTGAGTCAAAAAAAGGGAAAATAAATTTAGTCCAAATTAAATTATATTGTTTCACAAGAAATGATTCTTTTGAAGTCATTTGTTAAAATGTTGACTAGAGAGCTGCTCAATAACTGTGAGTTTCACTGACCTGTCTTAAACTTTTTTACAAATTCTACTGCTTAATCAGTAATTACAGAGCAGTACCAATTTTTCTTCTCAGTCTAGTTACTTGTAAATTTAAAGTTTCTCTAACTGCAACTGCATCCTTTCTTTAAAGAACATAAAATAGTTATTCAAATAAATAGCTTTAGTTAGAAAATTCTTGAACTCCGATGAACTATCATGTAAGGGTTTACAAAAATGTCATGCTACGTAGGATTCTTAGATCATAGTTCATAGTCATAATCATAATAATAATGAATATTCATTTTCAAACACAGTTGACGATTTAAAAATCAGCAGCGTAGTAAAGCTTATAACAGGCTTAGCCAAAGTCCTAAAAACATCTAAACTTTGGTAAAGCTGTTTTTGTAAATATAGACTTTTTTCATTTCAATTTTGAAAAATGTGCAGTGATTGTTTGGGATATTGAATTGTTTCTTTATCCAAGATATATAAAATAAATGCTGTGCATGCATGTAAAAATGAGCCTAGCTAAATATTTTTTCAAAATTATAAAATCACTCATATTTTATAGGAGTACTTTCAGAAATGCTTTTACTATTTTATGGCTAAAAGTATTCCACCTTTATTATTAATTCAGTTTTAATAAAGTAGTCAGCATTAAAATTTTGGTAAGCTGAACAATAATATACATGGCACCTAGGACTAAAAGAACCTTAACAGATCATTTAGTCTAGTCCAACCTCCTCATTCTACTGATGAGCTGAAGTCCAGAGAATAGAAACAGCAGGCCCAAGATCATATAACTAGTTAGTATTGGAGCTAGAAGAAAAACTCTCTAGCTCTCATTTCCAATATTATCATTTAAAGTACAAATGGATATATGCTGAACCAACCTTTGCACCTTTCAAGCACATCTCCAGCATCGATGAATTTGTTAAATGACAAATCTTTACTAAATGCTTACTATTAACTTAAACACTGAGCTAAAAACTAGAGGTATAACAAGCAACTCAGAAATAGCCCCTGCTTTTATGGAGCTAGGAAGAGAAACATATTAAACAAATGCTCAGACAGTAACTATGAATTATGGTTAAGATAAGTGCTGAGAAAGAAAAATACAGAATGTCAAGAGACTATCTAACAAAAGTATTTAACATGGTCTGGAGGATCAGAATAGTTTCTCTAAGGAAGTAACATTTTAAGTAAGAATTATCCATATGGAAAGGTTGATAAAGAACATTCCAGAGAAGAAACATCAATTATTATGGCTCTGACGTAGAAAAGGAGGCAACGTTTTTGAGGAACTTTACAAAGGCCAATGTGGCAGGACTGTTGAGTGAATGCGGAGTGGCATGAGAAGAGGCAGAGAGGCCACATTAAAAATTTTAGACTTTGTCTCAAAAAGAGAAGTATCTACAAAGAGCAATGAACTGAAACCAAGACACAAAGAAGCTTTTCTACGGTTTACCACCCAATTCATTGACCAGTCTTCTAAATAAATTTGATTAAGCGAGTCATATGAAGATTTCACAAATCCATAAATATATACCCCTAATAGTGTTTCTAGAATTCTGTGTCCTGAGACTAGCCTTAAAGGAAAACCTATCTTGCATTTGGATATTAGTGACACTTTAATAACTGACTGCTTAGATTCAACACAAAACAATAGATCTTACCAACCAAATTCAGCCTTATGGTAAAATTCTTGGGTGTCTTCGATTACACACACTAGTGTACAGCCAGGACCTAAGAAATGTATTTTGTCAGAGTCATTTTATAACACTATTGCATTTGAGAGGAGAGGCATGTTTTGCCCTCCAAATAGCCAAATTCATGTCCAATTATAATGGGTGATGTCACAGTGTATCTAATACCTACTATAACATGAATATATATATGTGTGTGTGTGTGTGTGTGTGTGTGTGTGTGTGTGCGCACGTGTGTGTGTGTACACATTTGCTTTCTGTGATGAAACCATGTAATATCTCCAAAGGAGAGTGCCACAGAAAAAAAGGTACAAGGCCTTTTCTTCTCATAATCACATGATTTTCACATAATCATATAACCAATCATCCAAATATCGCCCCCATTCATTCCTGTGTTACTCAACAAACACATATTGAGCACTAACTCAGGTACTGTACTAGGTATTTCACATTGTTTTATTTAATCTTAAAAATAATTATATAAGATAGGAATTATTATCTATTTTAGAGTTAGTCTCACTTTTAAGCCCATGCTTTTTCTGTTTTTGCATGTTAAAATTAAATTATTTTAAATAAT